TCTAAAATTTCCCTAGATTAGATACTAACAAATTCCGAAATTTCCCTAGTTCAAACAATTCTAAGTTCTGAAATTTCCTAGTTTCTACAATATTAAGTTCTAAAATTCCCCTAGATCAAATATTTCCAAATACTGAAAGTCTCTGGTTGCAAAATGAAAATATTCTGAAATATCCCCAATATAATTCTTGCCTACTGAAATTCCCTAGTTCTAAAACTTCAAAAATATAATCTTAAAATTTGTCCACAATTCCCTAGTACTAAAATTTCTAAGTCCCAAATCTAAAATTGTCAAACCCCCAGAAGACCAATTTTAATCCCTAAATTCGCAACCTCAAACAAATTCCTAAACGTCCACTTTTCCGATGGAAAAACGAGCAAACTCGAAAAGCGCAAAAGAAAGTTTTATCTCCCTCGAAAAGTTTCCCCGAGCATGGCGATTTTTCGCGGTAATCCGTAAAATCTGTGCCGCATTCGCAACGCTACCTCGAGTTGTCTATAAATACCGCAACTATTCTGTTGGAGGCGATTAAAAATGCGAAAATTGTAGGAACTATCGGACAGATCGTGGCCGTAGGTTAATCGTGACGTAGCGCATAACAGTAATAGCGATAAGATCGTAGTTCGGTTGTCGGTTCGCGCGGATTATCGGAAGAAAAGGAGCAACGCGTTTCGTTCGCGCTTTACACACGGCCTATGAATCGTATCTCTATCGGAATCCCGGAAGTTGGCTCCAATATCGATGTTCCTTAGATCATCGCTCTATTCTTCGCGGTGTGGCGTTTACATCTGCGCAGCATTCGGAAGGGAATGATTGAACGAACGGGTCAACGTAAATGCCAAGCTGCCAAGGCTACAAATAATACGACGGGGAACGCGATGCTTAGCGACAACGATTGTATTTCTTATTAATAGTAGTCTTCCCTCTACTCGGCCCGGCGAACCTCCGTGCCTCGGCCACGGTTACGCGCCAACGGAACAGGTTGTGCTTTCTGAGATAATGTTGCAAAGGTTTTATAAGCTTATTTGGGATTTTAGCAGAGTTGAAATCTGATCTTTTGGGAGGTTGGGAAATTTGGAATATTTGGAAAGAGTTATGAAATTTACCACATTGGGAAATGTAGGAATTGGGACTTGGAAAATGGAGAAATGTGGAAATTGAGATTTGGGAAACTGGGAAATATGGATAATGGGTTTTGGGAAATTGGGAAATGTAGGAATTGGGATTTGGGAAATGAGGAAATGTGGAAATTGTGATTTGGGAGATTTGGAAACGTGGAAATTGGGAAATGTGGGTATTGGGATTTGGGAAACTGGGATATGTGGATAATGGGATTTGGGAAATGAGGAAATTGGGATTTGGGAAATTAGGAAATGTGGAAATTGTGATTTGGGAAATTTGGAAACGTGGAAATTGGGAAATGTGGGTATTGGGATTTGGGAAATTGGGAAATGAGGAAATTAGGATTTGGGAAATGGGCAAATGTGGGAATTGGGATTTGGGAAATTGGGAAAGGTGGAAATTGAAATTTGGGAAATTAGGAAATGTGGAAATTGTGATTTGGGAAATTTGGAAACGTGGAAATTGAGAAATGTGGGAATTGGGATTTGTGAAATTGGGAAATTGGGATTTGGGAAATATGGGAATTGGGATTTGGGAAATTGGGAAATGTAGAAATTGGGATTTGGGAAATTAGGAAATGTGGAAATTGGGATTTGGGAAATTAGGAAATGTGGGAATTGGGATTTGTGAAATTGGGAAATTGGAATTTGGGAAATATGGGAATTGGGATTTGGGAAATTGGGAAACGTGAGAATTGGGATTTGGGAAATTAGGAAATGTGGAAATTGTGATTTGGGAAATTTGGAAACGTGGAAATTGAGAAATGTGGGAATTGGGATTTGTGAAATTGGGAAATTGGCATTTGGGAAATATGGGAATTGGGATTTGGGAAATTGGGAAATGTAGATATTGGGGTTTGGGAAATTAGGAAACGTGAGAATTGAGATTTGGGAAATTAGGAAATGTGGAAATTGGGATTTGGGAAATTAGGAAACGTGGAAATCGGGAAATGTGGAAATTGGGAAAAATTTAGGAAACTTTTTCCTAAGTTAAGGAAAAATTTAAAACCTAGAAAAAGTTTAAGTTTCCAAATTTGATATCTAATTTTTCAAATAATTTTTCAATTACCTTGAAATAATTCAACTTCTCCCCAAACGCATTCGAATTTCCAAGATCCAGCATCTCTCACCCCTAACAACCTTATCTATCCTCCGCGGCTAACAGTATTCGATTAAAGAACGATTTGTACACCAAAGCGCGCGTAAAAGAGAGAAATCGCAAATGCGTTTGAAAAGCGAGTGCAAGAAAATGCGAAGAGAGGAGGGCAGCTGTCAGCTCACCACTTCCGGCCATTATTTTATCGAAGGGCGGAGAGAAGATCGCGACGAAGCGATGGCCAGCAGGAGAGAAAACAGGAATATAAAGGAGACAAGGGGAGGAAAGAGGCTGCTTTTAGCGAGGAAGCGTCGAGTAACCGGCTTGGAACTGTCGTTGGAAAGTACACTTTGAATATTGGGCCTGGGCCGGGGACGGGACGTGCTTGCACAACTTTAGGCTAGGTCGCTTCAAACATCCAGCCCAAGATCCCCTTTGACTCGATATCTTGATGAGATGAGCCGTGGACGACAGCTTTACGCCGATTTTACAGCTTCTAAGGGAACTCTGCATATCTGCATGTATACTTGTTTTTTCATTTATACAGTTTCAATTTTGCATTTGTTGCTTTTTTAAATTTTTTATTTGTAAGATCTCTGGGTTGTTTAATAAGTATTCAAATTTACAAATTTTTAAATTTATAGATTTCATAAATATATTAGAGGTACTAATTTGTATATTTCCCAATTTTGTAGGACACAATTTACGCACATTGCTAAATTTAAATGTATAGGTTTTTAATATTGGGAATTTCTACCTTTTGCAGTTATATAATTTTATAATTATTTAACTGTATTGAAATTTTTAAACCTTGAAATTTATACATTTTGCAATTTTATAATTTATATAACTGTATTGAAATTTTTTAATCTTCAAACTTATACATTTAGCAGTTTTATAATTTTATAAATTATGCAACTGCATTGAAATTTTTTAATCTTGAAATTTATACATCTTGCTATTTTATAATTTTATAAATTATGCAACTGCATTGAAATTTTTTAATCTTGAAATTTATACATTTTGCTATTTTATAATTTTATAATTTATGCAACTGTACTGAAATTCTAAAATCTTTACATTTATGCAACTTGCAATTTTATAAATTTATAATGCATGTAACAGTATTGAAATTTAAAAATCATCAAACTTATACATTTTGCAATTTTGTAAATGTATAATTTATGTAACTGTATTGAAATTTAAAAATCATCAAACTTATACATTTAGCAATTTTATAATTTTATAAATTATGCAACTGCATTGAAAATTTTTAATCTTGAAATTTATACATTTTGCTATTTCATAATTTTATAAATTATGCAACTGCATTGAAATTTTTTAATCTTGAAATTTATACATTTTGCTATTTTATAATTTTATAATTTATGCAACTGTACTGAAATTCTAAAATCTTTACATTTATGCAACTTGCAATTTTATAAATTTATAATGCATGTAACAGTATTGAAATTTAAAAATCATCAAACTTATACATTTTGCAATTTTGTAAATGTATAATTTATGTAACTGTATTGAAATTTAAAAATCATCAAACTTATACATTTAGCAATTTTATAAATTTATAACGCATGTAACAGTATTGAAATTTAAAAATCATCAAATTTATACATTTTGCAATTTTATAAATTTATAATTTATGTAACAGTATTGAAATTTAAAAATTATCAAACTTATACATTTTGCAATTTTGTAAATGTATAATTTATGTAACTGTATTGAAATTTAAAAATCATCAAACTTATACATTTAGCAGTTTAATAATTTTATTATCTATGTAAGTGTATTGAAGTTGTAAAATCTTGAAATTAATACATTTTGCAAAGTTAAAAAAATTGGTAATTAATGAATAGTAACGTCGCAGGACAAAGTAATAATAAAATCGCTGTAGCAATGGTAGGAAAGTATCCTCAAGAATCTTTTCAACGCGTCGTTGGTGGAAAACACGATATCAAATGTATGTTCAAAACCGCTGTCCGTCACACCGCAACTCCGCAAGTCCTACGTATCGCGACAAACCACTCGGCCGGACGCGTGTTTACCCGGGATGCCATTACTTTCCGCGTATTAACCGCGACAATTTTAACTCGAGAAGCTATTTTATGTAAACGAGAAACAACATTTTTCTTGCAACACTTCGGTTAGTTACTTGTGCATACAGGGTGTCCCGTAAATCCCCTCAGCTACTGCTTTTAGACTTAAAAAGTCAGTCTGAAACGTGGAATATTTTATCGCATGATTTTCGAGAAGATCGAGTTCGAATCTTCGCAAACTCGTACACATTATTATCCGTAGTTCATTCATTCGATACTGGTGTTTTCATTTACGATCGCGAATAATGCAGCCAGTTTGAACGAAGAATTTTTTCTTCGACTCTCTTTCAACGATATCGTTTACGAGCACGATTACGAGATGCGAAACCACACTCGATAAGCGTCCGTTTTGTCCTTTGTTTACTCTGTCAAGATGGCGACCGGGTACCGCTTCTATTCCGCTGTAGCGGAAGCCCGCAAGCTCCCTCTGCACGAATCATATCACTGTATTCGGTTGTATTAGCTTCAAAAATACTGGTAATTCTTTAGTGGAAATTATAGAGCCAGAAGATTACGTACTGCGTATGAACAAATTGATCCAAAGCAAATTGGGTAAACTATAAAGCTTGAGGCTAAAGTACATGTTAACTAATAAATTTCTCGAAAACTGTGCAGCAGATAATTTTATTCAGTATTTTATTTAAGCAGAATTAGTTTTAAGTAGAGTCATTGCGTTTGGTTGTAACACGATTTATAGAACACCCTGTACACCGATTGGCAGCAGAGTTTGAAAGCAACCTCCGTTGCTCATTGGAATTGGTACTCGAAGCGGAAACATTGATAATGTTGATTCGAAGATGCCTTGTTTCGCTTCGCCAAGTTTGCGCGCAAGAAATGAACCTGGTAGTCGAAGATCGATTAAGTTCAATGTCGAACTTCCACGCAATTATTTATTTTCGCCGTCTTCTTACTTTTTTGTGCCTTTAGCAGTTGCTTTCCCTTCATTTCATCACGCTGCAAGTTTTTAAATTTCTTCTGAAACTTTCTGGGAAATTATGGAATTTTTTAGGTTTTCAGTATGGGAATTATAAAATCATATATTTACAAATTTTGGGGTTTTCAAGTTTGGGACACTTAAATCGTCGAGTATGCTAATTTGCTTATTTAGTTCAATAATTTTCATATTTCTAATTTTTCAATTTTCCAATTTTCCAAATTCCAAATTCTAATTTTCCAAATTTCCAAATCGCCAAATTTTCCAAATTCCAAATTTCCAATTTCTCTAACTTTCAAATTTTCAAATTTTCAAATTCCAAATTCCCAAATTTCCAAATTCCAAATTCTCCAATTTCCAGATTCCCATATTTCCAAATTCCCAAATTTCCAATTTCCAAATTCCCATATTTCCATATTCTCATATTCCCAATTTCCAAATTCCAAATTCCAAATTCTCAAATTCCCATATTCCCATATTCCCATATTCCCATATTCCCATATTCCCATATTCCCATATTCCCATATTCCCATATTCCCATATTCCCATATTCCCATATTCCCATATTCCCATATTCCCATATTCCCATATTCCCATATTCCCATATTCCCATATTCCCATATTCCCATATTCCCATATTCCCATATTCCCATATTCCCATATTCCCATATTCCCATATTCCCATATTCCCATATTCCCATATTCCCCCTAAATTTCTCAAATTTCCAAATTCCGAATTCTCCAATTTCCAAATTCCCATATTCTCATATTCCGAATTTCCAAATTCCAAATTCTCAAATTTCCAAATTCCCATATTCTCATATTCCCAAATTTCCAAATTCTCAAATTCCCAAATTTCTCAAATTTCCAAATTCTCAAACTTCCAAATTCTCAAACTTCCAAATTCTCAAATTCCTAAATTTCTCAAATTTTCAAATTCCGAATTCTCCAATTCCCAATTTCCAAATTCCAAATTCTCAAATTTCCAAACTTCCATATTCTCATATTCCCAAATTTCCAAATTTGCAAATTCCAAATTCTCAAATTTTCAAATTCCCAAATTTCCAATTTCTAAATTCCAAATTCCAAATTCCCATATTCTCATATTCTCAAATTTCTAAATTTTCCAATTTCCAAGTTCCAAATTCTCAAATTTTCAAATCCCTTAATCTCAAATTTCTTAATCGTTAAATTCCCAAATGTTCAATATCCCAATCTCAAAATTTCCCCGTTCCTACATCCCCCAATTTCCCAGCCTAACTTTCCAAACATCGACATTAATATACCCTCGCTATATCGCCGTTTCCGACCCGTCCCTCGGTGCATATCGCCATCAAAATTAGTTGCGACGTTTCTTCCAGAACCAGCTCATTTCGTCCGGGTCGTGTCAGCGTTTCTTTCGAAGCTCGCGGGGTGGGCTCACGAGAGAAGCGGCAGTTTCTACGTCGTCATGAATCGCTCGAGTAGAACGGAGGTGGGTGGTTGGGTTGGTGGGGCAAGGTGTAGGTCTCGTGACGTAGCAGTACGTATTTCTCTACTACTACGTTGTAACCTCCGTACATCGAGGCCCCCGCCCCTCGGAATCAGATCTGGTTCTCAACCCTCCGGTGTGTAACCGGAATATGAGCAACCACCCCTCCACCGGCATTCTCTGTAGCCAGCCAGCCGCCACCTACTCCGCCTCCTCCACCGCCACCTCCTCCTCTTCTTTCTCCTCCACGTTGCACGTCGTAGCCATGGCAATATTGATCGACCGGCTGGCCAGCCAGCCAGGCGGCCAGACTGGCTGGTATGCTCGGTCTACGCTTGCTACGACAGCCAACGAGCTTTGGGGGCCGCCGATGCCTTCCTCGAGATCCTTCGATCCACTCTCTACTATATACGCTACAATGTTACGCAGCTATGCTGCCCTCACTCTGCCCCTTCCACCTCCCACCTCCTCGCCCCGACACGCTTCGCCTCGTTCTCGTGGTTTTCGCGTGGCGAGCCCGGCATCGCCGTGCTTCTTGGCTCTCCTGATTCTCTCACGACCATTTCAATGAAATCTCCCGCGATCCTGCTATCCTATGCGTGCATATCTGTAATTTTAACCTATTGGGCTGGTGCGTCTCTTAGGAATTACCTTTGCGTTCTTTGTCTAAACAGATACCTTGTACAACTCGATACCTCGTCCTTAGCACTTGATTTGAACTCGTCAAAATGACAGACATAAGTCTTTTAAATGTAAAAAATTATTAGGAATTTTTGTAAAAATTTCGTTGCAAGAGAAAGACAACTTTCGTCAAGTTAAAGAATCTTTCGTCAAGTTAAGGCGGTTCAAGTCTTACGTTGTCCACGTGTCATACACAATTTATTTATTTTTATAAAGTAAAAGCTAGTAATACTAGCAGAGTTATTGGTGTAGTGCAGACAGCCCCTAATGCAGATACAGTATTTTTCATAGCCAGATTCAGTTATTGTTAATAATAATTCAAATACGAACACCGAACTGACATCATCAGGTCTAAGGTCCTGAAATTGTTTATCATCCCTTGATAATAAACACAGAGCATATGTAGTTCTTTTCTTTAAGTGGATGCCCAGATTCCATTTTTAAGGATGAGTGTCGCTACACCTCCTATAGGGTGTTGACAGAGTCAAGACATCCCTTCAAACCTTGAATCAAACGCATAATTCAAAGCATAGAAGAGTGCTGTTATTTTTCACCCTGTTCCAATAAACATCTTTCAGTTGTAAAGTTTCACAAATTTGTTTTTTCATTATATCTGCAATATGTGTATGCAGCACATGTATAGCACTATAGATTTAATTAAACAATTTTGATTTTAATTGTTATATTAAACTAAGTGGTGAGTCTCCTTTCAAATGCATAAGTTTAATATAGAAATTATTGTTGAATAAAGATGTTGTATAGTGGCACTGCTGTGTGACTTCAAAAATTTTTGACGCAAGTTTGCAGCCAGCTTGAAAAAAATATTTTTTCATCTATCAACGTGAAATGCTATAGTAATGGAAGTTCGAGTTCTATGACTATTTTGATAGGAACGTATCATATTTTATTTACTTTTTTTATTTGTTATTAATCTAATAGTTGCTCCAGGATCTCTCACGCGTGAAGCTTTCAACCTGGTCCGAGAGGGTTTTAATGAAATCTCGTGTGATGATGGTTATATAGGAGGGTGAAACGTATCTGTAATTTTAGCATCGAATGGTCAACTAGTTGGGAGAAAATTGTATTTGAAATCTGACGAAATCAATACATATGGAAGTCGTATTAATAAATATTGAATAAAGATAGTAGTATAGAGCTAGTACCGTTGGACTTCAAATTTTTCGTCTTTAGTTCACGTGTACCTTCAAACAAATGTTTCTTTTTTTAAATTAAAAAGATAAAATGTTACAAATATATAAACTTGAATTTTTCTATATGTATTCTGTTGTATACATATTATTATTATTATGCATTTATTTGTTATTTATTAGTATTTACACAAAATTTTTAAATTTCTCAAAACCTAAAATTAAAAAGTCAGTCATTATATTTTCACCGAGGAATATCTTTCATATCCAGAAAAAAGAAATCGTGATAAGTAAAAGAAACCTTGTAGTACATCGTATTACACTCTATTCGAGAGTGCTAACCCGGAAACCTCAGCGGCAAATACAACAAAAAGAGGCGGATATGCAAACGCGATATCAAGCCGTGAAATCGAATGGACGCTTAATCTCGTATTTGTGTCGGATAAGCCGGCCATCAAAGATGCAAAACTCTCTGAAAAATCATATCTCGTTAACGCTTTCACCGTTTCGAACGTTAATCGCCATTGAAATTTCAATGCACGGAACATCGCGACCGATAGAACTCATGTTTGACAAGTACATGAAAGTGTTAATTAGCACCGGAAGCAATTCGTTTCTTTATGGTTCGCGTTATCGTAAGAACCTGTTGCTCTAAATATGTTTTACTGGGCTCCTGTCAGGATTTCATGGTGTTTATCGAAAAATCTTGAGTGTCTTAGCTACTGGATTAAATATGGATTAACAGAAAAGTAGCTGTGATGGTCTTTTATTTGATAACTGTAATCTACAGTGTGGATATGTATTTATTGAATTTATCGTTTGCAATCTTGAAATTATGGAGCATCTGAGGTACAGATGTCAACCCATGAGTTGGCGCGGGGAACAAAGTAAAGGAAGCTCTATGAACACTTGCAGTGACATACAAATAAGAATAATAATGACAACTGCTGAACGCAAGTAGCATCTCACTTGAGAGACGTTTCAAGACTGTCATTGTTTTTCGCCTAATTGGTGTGCGTGACCGCGAGAGCCAATCTACCGCCGAAAATACGTGCGAGTGGCGTCCATTTTTCTATTCTGACCAATTGTGCCGTAGCTACTTGGGTTGTACCGATTTGGAGATGTGGGAATTTGGGAATATAGCGATGGGGGCGGTAGCGATTTGGGTGTGTGAGAATTTTGGAATATGGGAATTTGGGAATGGAGGGATTTGGGGAGGTAGGGATTTGGAAGTGTAGGTATTCGGGAATGTAGGAATTTGGGGATGTGGCGATTTGTGGGAATGTGGCGATTTGGGGATGGAGGGATTTGGGTATGTGAGAATTTTGGGATATAGGAATTTGGGAATGGAGGGATTTGGGGGTGTAGGAATTTGCGGACATAGGAGTTTGGGGATGTAGGGATTTGGGAAATTAGGGATTTGGAAAATTAGGAATTTGGGAAGGTAGAGATTTGGTAAGGTTGGGATTTGGGGACATAGGAGTTTGGGGATGTAGGGATTTGGGAAATTTGGGATTTGGAAAATTAGGAATTTGGAAAGATAGAGATTTGGCAAGGTTGGGATTTGGGGACATAGGAGTTTGGGAATGTAGGGATTGGGGAAATTAGGGATTTGGGAAGATAGAGATTTGGCAAGGTTGGGATTTGGAAAATTAGGAATTTGGGAATGTAGGGATTTGGGAAATTAGGGATTTAGAAAATTAGGAATTTGGGAAGGTAGAGATTTGGCAAGGTAGGGATTTGGAAAATTAGGAATTTGGGAAGGTAGAGATTTGGCAAGGTAGGGATTTGGGGACATAGGAGTTTGGGGATGTAGGGATTTGGGAAATTTGGGATTTGGAAAATTAGGAATTTGGGAAGGTAGAGATTTGGCAAGGTAGGGATTTGGAAAATTAGGAATTTGGGAAGGTAGAGATTTGGCAAGGTAGGGATTTGGAAAATTAGGAATTTGGGAAGGTAGAGATTTGGCAAGGTAGGGATTTGGAAAATTAGGAATTTGGGAAGGTAGAGATTTGGCAAGGTAGGGATTTGGAAAATTAGGAATTTGGGAAGGTAGAGATTTGGCAAGGTAGGGATTTGGAAAATTAGGAATTTGGGAAGGTAGAGATTTGGCAAGGTAGGGATTTGGAAAATTAGGAATTTGGGAAGGTAGAGATTTGGCAAGGTAGGGATTTGGAAAATTAGGAATTTGGGAAGGTAGAGATTTGGCAAGGTAGGGATTTGGAAAATTAGGAATTTGGAAATGTAGGGATTAGGGGAATTATGCATTTGGAAAATTAGGAATTTGAAAATGTAGAAATTTGCCAAGCTAGAGATTTGAAAATGTAGTGATTTGTAAACCTAGAATTTTGATAATGTAAGAATTCAGAAATGTAGGGATTTAGGAATAGTATAATGATTTCGATATCTGAATCTCCCAAGCACCTGGCTCCGCCTCTTCACGCGCCAGCTCAAGGGTTGCCATCGATAGCTGGAACAAGTTTTCAAACCGTTATACCTAAAAGAAAGTTGCAAAGGAAAAAATGAAACAACATAAAAAGAATTTTAAATTTATTTTGTAAATATAACGATGCACATAAGAAACGCAACTGCATATTATCTACATTAATTTTATAGATGAATCTCCATACAGAAATACACTAAAGACCACTCTAATAAATACACCCAAGAGTCCATGAAGTTTATTTCAAATTTAAAAATGAAACATTTCATAAACAAATTTAAAAAATCATACCAATTATTCTTATATTCTATTTCTAAACTTCACCTCAATTCTCAATTTTCTACAAAGCGATCTAAGCAATAGATTTCTATTTGTAAATAGAAAATATGTAGATGTTCTTAAAAGAGTCTTAATGTATTTCAAATATGCAACCACAATTTATGAACAAACATGTAAATTTTTTGAGCTCGTTGAAAGTTTGTAGAGAGTTCCGAAGGAGTTCGTTAAATATTATTTATCGCAAGAATTTAGTCGCGTTGTAAAAGGATCGGCGACGGGTTTACAGCAGCTTTCTACGGTTAAGAAAAGCCAGGCAAGCAGGATGGATATCGGGTTGCACGCGCTACCCAGTCCCGCGATTTGTCAGCGTGATATTTCGCTACTTTGTGGCAAGTAAAATACCCACCCGCGCTATTCCGTTGCAACGCTTCAACTTGCAGCGATTCCGCTTTATTTCCGACCGAGATAATGAAAACGAATACCCCGCCAATTTACGATTCTTTTTTTTTTGGGTAGCGAAATTTGTATGGGCACGATATCACGCGAAAATGTTATTACATTGCCAGGTTTGGGCGTCGTAAAAATTCAAGTCATCCAGTTTAATAACTCTCAGGGGTTTTTCATTTTTAGAGGTTTTTAATTTTTTATATTTTTAGGGGCGTTTAGTTTTGTGTATTTTTGTATTTTGAACATTTGTGAATTTTATAGTTTTTAATTTTCTAGGTCCTTAAATTTATACATTTTGCATTCTTTAAGGGCTTTTGGAATTTGGAATTTGGAATTTGAAATTTTGGAATACGGAGTTGTGGAATTTGGAGCTTTGGAATTCGGAATTTTGGAATTCAAATTTTTAGAATTCGAATTTTTAGAATTCGGAATTTTGGAATCCGGAGTTGTGGAATTCGGAATTTTGGAATTCGGAGCTTTGAAATTCGGAGCTTTGGAATTCGGAGCTTTGGAATTCGGAGCTTTGGAGTTCGAAATTTTGGAATTCGGAGCTTTGGAATTCGGAATTTTGGAATTCGAA